TCACAGAAATAAATAACATGCCCATCAATATTATCAGCCAAGAGATCTTTAACCATAGAAATACTAGGTTCAACTTTAATTTGCTCAGGAGGTGTATATGTTCTAGTATTACTCTTACGATCCACAATTGAAGCTTTAGCATGATCCTTTATCCTAACAGGGAAAGGTGGTTTCTCAATATAAGTAGTAGGAACAATAGGATCATTATAAGTGATAGTCTTTTCTTCAACTGTAACAAGTGCAATTACTTTTACTTCAATGGGAGGATTATATTTAAACCACTTCTCCTTAGGGAGATCAACATGAGTAGCAAACGATTCACAGAAAGAAGCTACTATCTCAGAGTCAAGTCCATATTTAGTGCTAAATCTACGAAAAGCATCGGTATCCATAAAAGAGTTAACACAATCAAACTTAGGTGTCATACCTGACTCCTTACCATCTATGGAATCCCAATCTTCAGGGTTGCGTTTAATTCTTTCCAATAAATCTCATTTGAATTCAATAGTCTTCATCATAAAAGACCCAGCACAAGAAGTATCAAGCATGGTGCGATTGTTGAGAGAAAGCCGAGCATAAAAGTTCTGAATAATCATTTCTATTGAGAGCTCATGATTGGGGCATGAATATAACATTGACTTAAGCCTCCCCCAAGCTTGAGTGATGCTTTCTCCTCCGCGAGTCCAAAAATTATATATATAATTACGATCACGATGAACAAGATGCATAGGATAAAACTTCTGATGAAATTCCAATTTCAATCGTTTATAGTCCCAGGATCCCATATCATCACATAGCCTATACCATGTCAATGCGTCTCCCTTCAAAGATAAAGGGAAAACCTTCTTCTTAATAACATCATCGGGCATACCTACAAGCTTAAATAATCCACAAATTTCATCCACATAGATAAGGTGTAAATCGGGATGCAATGTTTCGTCTCCTGCAAAGGGATTAACTAGCAGTTTCTCTACCATACCCAAAGGAATTTCAAAGTAAACATTTTCAGTAGGTTCAGTAGGTTGAGGAGCAACTCTTTGATCTACTGGTCGGGGTGAAGATACCCCGAACAAGCCCCTCAAAGGATTAGTTTCCATAGTAACAAGTGATAGTAAATTTCAGCACACTATATAAATGTTTCCTTACCAAGTTCCACTTACATGGCGCTTCACTCCCCGTCAACGGCGCCAGAAAAGAGTCTTGATGACCCACAAGTGTAGGGGATCTATCTAGTCCTTTCGATAAGTAAGAGTGTCGAACCCAACAAGGAGCAGAAGGAAATGACAAGCGGTTTTCAGTAAGGTATTCTCTGCAAGCACTGAAATTGTAAGTAACAAATAGTTTTGTGATAAGATAATTTGTAACGGGTAACAAGCAATGAAAATAAATAAGGTGCAACAAGGTGGCCCGATCCTTTTTGTAGAAAGGACAAGCCTGGACAAGTTCTTATAATGAGAAAAGCGCTCCCGAGGACACACAGGAATTATCGTCAAGCTAGTTTTCATCACTCTCATATGATTCACGTTCGTTACTTTGATAATTTTATATGTGGGTGGACCGGTGCTTGGGTACTGCCCTTTATTGGACAAGCATCCCACTTATGATTAACCCCTATTGCAAGCATCCGCAACTAGAAAAAAAGTATTAAGGTAAACCTAACCATAGCATGAAACATGTGGATCCAAATCAGCCCCTTACGAAGCAACGCATAAACTAGGGTTTAAGCTTCTGTCACTCTAGCAACCCATCATCTACTTATTACTTCCCAATGCCTTCCTCTAGGCCCAAACAATGGTGAAATGTCATGTAGTCGACGTTCACATAACACCACTAGAGGAGAGACAACATACATCTCATCAAAATATCAAACGAATACCAAATTCACATGACTACTTATAGCAAGACTTCACCCATGTCCTCAGGAACAAATGTAACTACTCACAAAGCATATTCATGTTCATAATCAGAGGAGTATTAATATGCATTAAGGATCTGAACATATGATCTTCCACCAAATAAACCAACTAGCATCAAGTACAAGGAGTAATCAACACTACTAGCAACCCACAGGTACCAATCTGAGGTTTTGATACAAAGATTGGATACAAGAGATGAACTAGGGTTTGAGAGGAGATGGTGCTGGTGAAGATGTTGATGGAGATTGACCCCCTCCCGATGAGAGGATCGTAGGTGATGACGATGGTGATGGTTTCCCCATCCCGGAGGGAAGTTTCCCTGGCAGAACAGCTCCGCCGGAGCCTTAGATTGGCTCCGCCAAGGTTCCGCCTCGTGGCGGCGGAGTTTCGTCCCGTGAGCTTGCTTATGATTTTTTCCAGGGTAAGAGACTTCATATAGCAGAAGATGGGCACCAGAGAGCTGTTAGGTGGCCCATGAGGCAGGGGGGCACGCCCAGGGGGGTAGGGTTCGCCCCCACCCTCGTGGGTGGTGTGTGGTCCCCCTCAGGTATTTCTTCCACTGAATATTTTTTATTAACTCCCAAAATGACTTTCTGGAGTTTCAAGACTTTTGGAGCTATGCATAATAGGTCTCCAATATTTGCCCCTTTTCCAGCCCAGAATCCCAGCTGCCGGCATTCTCCCTCTTCATGTAAACCTTGTAAAATAAGAGAGAACAACCATAAGTATTGTGATATAACGTGTAATAACAACCCATAATGAAATAAATATTGATATAAAAGCATGATGCAAAATAGACATATCATTGAGTCATTGGACAACTCGTCCAACTAGGAGGACTACACGGATGAGATGACGATGATGCAGACAGTCCTTGTAGACGCGGAGCATATGGAAGACCATGTTCCCAATTTCAAGGGATTGATCAAGGGTCATCAAGTGTTCAACGCAACAGGGTGCACAACCATTTGACGCTGATGGACGAGTACTTTGCCCCAGATGCTCTATTCGCTGACAATTTTCTCAGCCGCTTTCGGATGCAAGAAAATGTATTCAATCGTCTCTACCATGGCATCCAGTTCTTTAATGACTACTTCATCTTGAAGAAGAATTCCGTGAGAAGGATTGGGTTCTTTGGTTACCAGAAGTGTATGTCCATGCTGCAGATGCTTGCATATGGCACGATCGCTGATTTGTGGGACAAATACCTACAGTTGTCTGAGAGCACATGGGGAGATTCCATGGTAAGATTTTCTACTGCCGTGGTCTCGGTGTTTAGACCTCAGTACCTGAGAGAACCAACTGTTGCAGACACTGAGAGGATCTTGGCAATGTCTAAAGCAAGAGGGTGGCCAGGTTTGCTCGGATCTCTTGACATGATGCATTGGATATGAAAGAACTGCATGCCCAAAAGCCCTACAAGGGCAATATCAGGGTCATGTAAAGACGTCCACCATCATTCTCGAAGCAATTGCATCAAAGGACCTTTGGATTTCAAACACTTGTTTTGGCATGCCCGGGTCTCGCAATGACATCAATGTGCTGCAGCGATCACCATTCTTTGCTAGGCTGACCGAAGGAAAAAATCCTCCTTAGCACTGTCTGGAGCCCATGTCACAGATCTGAAGGCAGAGAGGGGGACATATTAGACCATGACCTTACCTCAGGCCTCGTCTGGGCGAGCCGGTAGACAATCAAAGTCAACACTGAGAGGCCGTAGATGAGCCACGTCGAGCAGATCCGTCATTATTGGTACGAATCATGCCGACAAGGGAAGCCACCGCAGTCACTGGGCCACACCCTCCATTGGGTGTCGTGTAGCCGTTGCAAAGCTAGCACGGCAGGCTGCCTGACCATCGGACCGCCGGAAAAAGTTTCCGCCATTCGACAACTACACGACCTGAAATAGAGAACCCCGCCGTCCGCCATGCGGGCTTAGCCTACCGGCATCCTTCAGCGACAGCTAGGGGAGAGACGGGGTGGGTGGTGAGCCGACGGCGATGGATCTGGGTTTCCCTTGTGCCACCCGGGAGGCGACTTCTTTTCGGTGTCTCACAAGTAATGCTTTTGTTAGAACATGAGGTCAGTTTATCTGTTTAGCACTACTTTTACTCTTCTAACATTAATATTCAATAAATTTTCAATTATTATACTCCCTCAGTCCTAAAATAAATGTCTCAACCCTAGTACAACTTTGTACTAAAGTTACTATAAAATTAAGACACTTATTTTGGGACGGAGGGAGTACAATTTAATACATATTTAAATTATATGATTAAGTGAGGGTATAATTTGCTGTTATATGAATTCTTTAACATACAATTTTTTTATAAAAAAAACAGGGCCCTAAATTCCTAGAGGCAGCATTGCGTCGCCCACAGGACAAGAGCTTGCATTTGCAACTATTGAGTTTCCCCCCCTCAAACTGGCCCTCACCCCTCGGAAGTTAGAACCAGTCGTGCCGTTCTAATTATTCATGTATTTTGTGATGGCACGTCCTAATTAACAAATGGTTGCCCTGATAGTCTGCACCTGCTCCTACACGACACGCTACATTTCAGGAGCGACAGTAAAATACTATGAACCACTAACAATTTTACCTCTGGGTAAACAAAGAACCACCCATCTCCGGAGTAAGTATATTCCAGCCAATTAATTATCTGCTCCAGAGCAGCTAGACAGTCCAATAGAAAAACAACATATCCCTTGCAAAAAATAATAAGACATCACCAATCTTGGCCCATCATCCAAGCCGCTTCCCCGAGCAGACAAACACTAGATGCAGGCGCCATCCGGGGCTTGAGTGACCGTGACCCTCCACACACAAGCTCTAGCAGAAAAAAGGAAGACGTGGTAAGACTACCCTGGCACCCATTGTTTGATCCGTCGGGCAGCGGATGCGGAATGGCGCTATCACTTGTACGTTCACGCAAAGGGACACGCATCGTTCCTGGGTCTATTTAAGCACCACCGTAGGGTGGCAACTGAGGTCACCTCACTGCCCCCATCTTCTCCAACCCTTGCCGGCCAGCAGCTAGCTAGTGTGCTCCGGTCCCTGCCGGCCTAGCTAGTTCGGCGGCGGCAATGGAGATCGAGAGGGAGGCGCCCGGCAGCGAGAGGGGGAGGAGCTGGCGGGCCAGCGCCGCGCAAGATGCGCAGGATGGCAAGAAGTTTGAAGACGGTGATGAGACGCTCGTCAAGGTACAGTGCTATGTCTTGCTCTCCTTGCACATATGTAGAAGAAGCTCGTTTGCTCATGTTCATGGCGAGTCTAGCTCTAGCTAGAGAGATCGGTTAATTTACGATATGTGCGCTGTACAGGAGCCGGCATGGAAGCGATTCCTCTCCCATGTTGGGCCCGGGTTCATGGTGTCCCTGGCCTATCTGGATCCCGGCAACTGTGAGAGCCCTTCTCCTCTTTCTCTTTTGCAACCAGCTCTGGTTTTTATCATTGTTCATACCTCAGGGTCACGGTTCTCATGGTGATGAAATTGTTGATGCAGTGGAAACGGACCTGCAAGCCGGCGCCAACCACAGATATGAGGTAGTGCACATTTGCAGTTAATTCTACCTTTTGCCAGGCGATTCCACTTTCAATGAGAGGGGGCCATGCCCCCCCCCCACCTTTCTAGTAAATCTCAAAGTTTTCACCGTTTCCAACTCATCCCAAAACCAAAAGGAGTTGAGAGACTAATTGGCACTTCTGTCTTTTGCTTTGTCCTGTCGATTGTGTGTTTGCAGCTCCTCTGGGTGATTCTGATTGGCCTCGTCTTCGCACTGATCATACAGTCACTAGCAGCTAACCTTGGCGTGGTTACAGGTATATTAAAAGTTCACAACGCCAACCACAACATACAAAACAAAATGCCACTTGCGCTAGCTAACTCGATCGCCCGCGTGCAGGAAAGCATCTCGCCGAGATATGCAAGAGCGAGTATCCGAAGCCGGTGATGATCTGCCTCTGGCTTCTTGCGGAGGTGGCGGTGATCGCCGCCGATATCCCGGAAGGTTTGAATCAGCATGCCATCTTTTTCTTTTATTTTTTTGCGGGGAAATCAATATGCTGCCAATAATGCTCATCACAAAGTTGGCGTCTCAGTGACATATATATTTGACCCTGTCGTCATGATCAAGCTCACTGATAGCTAGCTACCGGAATCACACGACAGCATATATAAGGCCAAGTGTCCCGGCCCCCACGTTCCGTCCAGTTGCTAACCCCACATGGACGGCATTCTTTCCTCCCTATCTTCTTGTCCTTAGTCAACCGTTTGCTAACCATATATGAATGTTAATTAACCATATCTCGCTCACTAACAACACTAATAGCAAGTATGCACATGGTGGAGTCAATATGCTGAACTGGTCTACATAAATGAATTACTTTGTCACTGACCTGCTCTATTGACTTTTGCTAAGAACACTATGTAGCGACGACGAAAACAAGTTTTTTTACTTTTGTTTTTTTGCGGTGGAATGACGGCATCGGTTGAAAATAGCAACAACAATCTAGTAGTAATCTATAATAACATGCACGTATTCTAAGTTTCTTACGAAATCGATGGGTTAACTTGTTTGTTTGCGTAGTGATTGGGACGGCCTTCGCTTTCTACCTCTTGTTCCGCATCCCTGTGTGGATCGGGGTTCTCATCACCGGCTCCAGCACGCTCCTCCTCCTTGGCCTACAAAGATACGGTGTGCGCAAGCTCGAGTTTCTGATCTCCATGCTGGTTTTCGTCATGGCGGCGTGCTTCTTCGGAGAGCTGAGCATAGTGAAGCCTCCGGCGAAGGAGGTCCTCAAGGGGCTGTTCATTCCCAAGCTCAAGGGGAACGGTGCCACCGGCGACGCCATCGCCCTCCTTGGAGCACTAGTCATGCCGTGAGTGTGGATTGCTAAAAACTATCAACTATGAAAATGTTACTCCCTCCGTCCGGAAATACTTGTCGGAAAAATGCATGAAAATGGATGTATCTAGAATTAAAATACGTCTAAATATATCCATTCCGCCGACAAGTATTTCCGGACGGAGGGAGTATTTACTAGAGTGGCTAACTAATTAAACATGGTTGCTCATTTTGTTCGAGTACAGTCACAACTTGTTCTTGCATTCGGCGTTGGTGCTGTCCAGGAAGACGCCGTCATCAGTAAGAGGAATCAAGGTTGGTTCCTTCACAAATTGTTCTATAGCTGGGGGGCAG